AAAGTTTGATGAAATGCCATAAATTCTTTCCTAGCCATTTTTACCATAATTATTTTTTTTCTGTTCATGCTGATGGTTGTAGCACCAAAGTGAGCTGCTCTTTTAAAAAATATCTACTTCCACTGTCATCTAAAATATTATCTGAGTCACTTACACGCCACAGCTGTGACAATTTAAATAGATAAATGTCAGGACAAATACGTAATAATGCAATTTCCTGCATCTGTTAAAATTCAAATAGCTTAAATTAAGTAAAGATGAGGAAATAAATATCAGTTTTATTCAAAGAAACACTACACAAACACAAATCAAATTCTGCCAGGCTCTGAATTGTCATGCTGAGGTCATCAGAACTATTTAAGGAAAGGGAAGTAACTCATCAAGAATATGAGCATCCAGTTATTACAATACTTTTGAGAAAGTCCAACTCTTTATTTGGCTTGATTATAACTCAGATCCCTTTAGGTACGCTGAGAGGATTGTTCAGACACTTCCCCCCCCCCTATTTTGATTTACTCTGAATTCTGCTTCTATTTCAAATCTGTATGAAATATCTGCATAACACATTAGAAACAACAACACAAGAAGAATAGTCTAATTTTAAACAATTTCAGTTCCTGAGATTTTGCCATGAAATAGATTGTGTCGTTTTGTTTTGTTTCATTTTCAACATATTGTATATCTCTCATATACAGAGTTCAGTGGTAGGAAGAAGGCAATGCTAGGAACAATCAGTACTTTTTTTGTAAAAAAAAGAAAAAAAAAGGTGCCGGAACTCACACACGTCATACAACCCGCCTTGCCTACCCTACAAGGTTCCATCCCAAAAAGATGCCTTAACTCCGTTATGGGCATTCTATGACAAAAAAAAAAAAAAAAAAAGCCCTGGGAACAATTAAGGTAATGTGCATAACCCTCAAATTCCCAGGCCTCTGGTAAAGGACCTGAGATTGAGGACTGACATATACAGCACATCGGGGTGAGAAAGGTTTTTCTTTATATACTGTATATAACTATTTCCAAAGTAACACACAGATAGAGCTGGCCGATAAGGACACAGTTGACATTGTAGTCCTATTCAATGGATCCAATCAATTGCTTATTTGAAAAGTATCTTTAGTTATGAAATTAAAGGCAGGGTTCTTTAATAAAGTTATCAGTAATATTGATAGGAATAAATAGAAAAATAAATTGCAATTTTAAACACATTTTCAGAGAGGTTTCCCCAAGTAGTGTCCTCCCAGAACAACTAGTTTGCATTCTGAGATTGTATGAAGGCATTGGGGTTGGTGGCAGGGGAGGTGATAAGAAGTCAAAATGATTGCTCTGATCACATGACCCATCGTCCCTGAAGATGCCTTTACTGTTGTAAGCCCAATAAATTTGATGGACATTGGATTTGAGTAGATTTTATTAGGAGAAAAGCTGACGACACCCAATTGTATATCTCTACCCCTAGCAAATTAAGTGATACGATGAACATCTTATCTAATGAGACAGCCTGGAGCTGGGGGGATCTGGATGAGAAACAGCAGGTTTCAGCCAAACCCTGGAATGGCTTTGGTTTGGGGGGCCAACTGATTAGAGGACTACGCAATTTTTGATGCTGGATGGGGTTGCACAACCCTAGAGAGACCCAACATACAATTTGGATTCCTTCTCGAGGAGTAGGTGGCAGTGTTGCTAGAAGGCCTTTTCCACAGTTCCTGGATCAGCAGGTCTTGCTAACAGTCACTTTTGCATAGTCACCTCCAGATTGGGCTACTACAATGTGTTCTACATGAAATTGCCCTTGAAGAACAACTGGAAGCTTCAGCTGGTACAAAATGCAGCAGCAGATGCAGTTATGTGCACTCCTAGGACAATGCATATTAGACCTCTGCTTCATGGGCTGCATTAGTTGCTAGTCTGCTTCTAAATCCAATTCAAGGTGCTGCTTTTAATATTTAAAGCCCTTCATGGCTTGGGACCAAGCTATTTGAGGGATTGCCCTTCTCCATTTACATCAGCCAGCCCCATCAGATCTTGCAGAGAAGGCATGCTGTAGGTACCTTTGGCTAAGAATTTATATTTGGTGAGTCCCAGGAGATGTGCCTTCTATGCTGTAGGTGGAATATTCTTTCTCCCAGAATTAGATTGGCCTGATTGATCTTTTTTGATATTTCATAAGGCCATTAAGACCTGCTTATGTGACCAGACCTGTGGATCCCATAGAACTGAAGACCTACTGTATCTAGATGGCTCCATTGTTGAAGGGGCTATTTTTATTTCCTTCAACTATGAAATTCCCAGTTTTTTAGTATATTTATTCTTATGATTCTTTATATTTATTTTTTGCTTTTTTTACATTCTTGCTTTTTATCTATTATTATACACTTCCTAGAATTGCTTGAATGAGGTGGGTTACAAATTTGACAAATAAATAAACTGCAACTAAATAGAATGTGTGTATTTTTGTTACAATAATAAGATTTCTATAGGGGGGAGGAGAACTGTTATTTTTTTCTTCTTATTTAAATTCTTGTATTTGTATAAAAAAAGAATCCCATCTAGTTAAAATAAAATACAGCACATTTTCTCTGTATAAGTAGTCCTTGATTTACAACCACAATTGAGCCCCAGATGTTAAGTGAATTTTGCCCCATTTTACAACCTTTCTTGTCACAGCTAAGTGAATCACTGCAGCTGATAAGTTAGTAACACAGTTGTTAAGTGAATCTGGCTTCCCCATTGACTTTGCTTGTCAGGGGGTCACAAAAGTTGATCACATGATCCTGGGACACTGCAACCATCATAAATAAGAGTCCGTTACCAAGCATCCAAATTTTGATCAAGTGACTATGGGGATGATGCAGCTGTTATAAGTGTAAAAAAAACAGTCATAAGTCACTTTTTTCAGTAAATGAACTGTTGTAAAGTATTACTTGTATTACCAATTTCAGTGTAAAAGGGGACAAACTTCAACATTTATAATAAGAGCAACAAAGATGATTAGAGGACTGCAGGCTAAAGCATATAAGGAATGGCTGCTGGAATTGGGTATGTCTAGTTTAATGAAGAGAAGGATGAGTGGGGGCATGATAGTAGTGTTCCAATATCTCAGGGGCTGCCACAAAGAAGAGGGAGTCAACCTATTTTCCAGGGCGCCTGAAGGCAGGACAAGAAGCAACGGGTGGAAACTAAGCAAGGAGAGAAACAACCTAGAACTAAGGAGAAACTTCCTGACAGTTAGAACAATTAACCAGTGGAACAACCTGCCTCCAGAAGCAGTAAATGCTCCAACACTGGAAGTTTTTAAGAAGAGACTGGACAGCCATTTGTCCGAAATGGTATAGGGTTTCCTGCCTGAGCAGGGGGTTGGACTAGATGACCTCAAAGGTCCCTTCCAATTTATTATTATTATCATTATCATTATTAGTTGGAAGAGGAATTTTTCAACCCATACAAAAACTGAATATCAAAGGGGTGTCTGTCTGTCTGCCTGTCTGTGTGTCTATATGTCCACATGTGTGTCTGTGTGGGTTTAACCTTCAATTTCCAACGATGAGGGGTGAGTTCCTTCATGTGGATTTTTAGAATCAAGAGGTTCTAAACTACATCCACTAATTCCGACTGAGCCATTGTAAACTTCCTTGACAAGAAATAGGGAAAACTGTAACCTCTCATAAATGTGTATTGAGTCTAATGTGCCAGATTAGCTGGTGTGCATAAGGTTACAAAATGCTCTTATCCATATTGGAAAGAAGCTTCAGTGAGGTTGACTGACAGTATGTTGCTGTCCTTTAACAGAATCTGCAATCTGTCATCCAAGAAAGTTAATCTACTTTGTTTCATGGCTGGACCAAGAATTGATTCCTCTTGGTTTTTGGCCATCTCCATGTATCAAACAGGATTTTTGGAACAAGTGTGTCTTTAACAAGTATCTCTATAAGTAATCTTCACTTCTAGGAGAATACTGCTCTCAATCTTAGTAAACGAAAGATTTCAATTTACTTGATACAGATAATACTATATCAGTTAGCTGATATATGCAAATAATAGTCACACAAGCAATCTTTTACTTGAATAGGATGATCTAGAATTTAAGGAATTATCTGAAGCTTTTGTCATTAGAAAATCTACAAAATTGTTTTTTCTTTTTACAAATTATAGAACCAGTTGCTGAAATCTTTAAAAACTTCCCTTGTCAAGTACTGATCAATATATTGATGTGGGAATAAACATGGGTAATATATAAAATATAGTATCTGTATCAATTTGGAGCTTGTGAATAGACAGTTTTGTGTAAACGATTTTCAGATGGGATTAAGAAACATAAATCCATAACTTAGGATTTTATATAGCTAATGTTCAAAATATGTTGTTTTGAAAAATACATTAAAACCATTAAAGAAATTCAAACCTGCCTTGTTATATTCATGAATGCTATAATGAACATTAAGCACATAATTATATATCTTAAATCATCAATATTCACTCAGAGAAAGATTTGAAAATAAAAATACCATTTTTAAACTTTTAAATCTTTATATAAATCTTTATATAAACATACAGTCCAATTCTATGCATCTTTTTTCAGGAATAAGTCCCATTTTTAGGTTGGTGTGTATACTATATTACCATTCCAGACTCTGTTCCAAGCCTATGAATATTTTAAAAAGCCTTTGGGATCAGTGAAACAGTTTTTCCTCCCTCCACTTGTGAAAATGCAATAGTTACAATTAGTTAATAATCAGTTCTCCTTATTTTTATTTTACTATGCTATGTTTTGCATATTTTCAAGCATAACTTAAAATCTCAGTGTTAGAGATTTTAGTGTTAGTGTTAGCCATACCATTTAAATTAAGAATATTAGAAAACATTCTGTCCCACATCGTCAAAATTCACACTCCATGTTCAAAGCAAGTGGACCCTAAATTTACAACCAGTGTGGTCACACAACGTCTTCAACAATTACAATAGTCCATAAGCAAAAATGAAAAGAGACAGAGAAAACTTACCCCAGTGATCACTGCACATTTGTACAAGGTTAGCAAAAGAAAGAAGCACAAGATTTGCATACATATTTTCATGGTGCTTGAGAGGGGGGAAAGCTTATTTTTCCTTCTTCTTACACTCTCTTACATGTCACAGCCTCTCAACAAGGTTGCAAGTTTGTGTCTTCCTTCCTGCCTGCCTCTGTGAGAACTGATCACATCCTCCTATCTTGGTTCTCTATTTAACATCTTCTCAGCCCCTTTCAATTTGTTTGCTGATGTGATAGTATGATGATCCAAGAACACAAAGATGAGATGTGAGCCTATAATACTGTTATAACACTACAATCATTTTCAGTCTTTCAAAGTCTTAAATTCAGACAGGCACACTTGTTAAGAGTTTTCATTTTTAATTTACAACTCAGAAACTTACAAATCAACTCTTGAGTTGGAGTCACCTTTTTTAAAAAAAATTATCAGAATTGATAATGGATAATTGGTGAAGTAAGTTTGGGGGAGTTGGAGATTTTTTTAAAAAAATATTTAATAAAAATTCTGATTCTCTTCCCATCCTATCCTGGTCAGATTTCTCTCACAGACTGATAGTAGATGAGGTAGCACAAGCAGTGAATTTCACTGTCATGTTTAGAGAGGCAAACCATGTATCTGGCATTGACTGAGGCACTTCGTTCTAACTCAGGCATTGTTATATTTTATTTTTATATCTAGTGGTGGACAGTGCAGAATTGAAAAGGCACATTCTGGAGTGATGGAATTACAGCCCAATGCTCCTGAAGAACACCAGGCTGGGTAAGATGGCTGTTTTTAGTTGGACAGATCTTAATTCTTCTGGCATTATGTAAGCATCGAAGAATAAAAAGCTGTAGGCAAAAGAAGAAATGGGCAGAGAATGGGCAACCACTTTACCCACTTAAAATAAAAGCTAAACCAGATATTGCCTTTGCATTTAAAGCGCGGTAAATGCAGTAGTTGCTCCTTAAAAATGCAGTAGTTGCTCCTTAGGGCAGGGGCTGATAATTAACAGGACTGCAGCTCTTTGGAAAAGAATATTTCATTCCTCACCTGCTATGGTTGCAGGAATATAGCCCCCCCCCCAATGCTGGTATCTACGTTGAAGTAATATGCAATGTGGCATTACCTCTTGTTGCATTATCAGCTTCTTTCTCCCTTTCAGTTGAGGAAAGTGTTAAAGAAGACAATCTCTCCCTGCCTGTATCACCCCAGAAGTTATCAACCTTTTCCCCCATTCTCAATGAATGCCATTTGCATTTTTCAACATGCACTTTACCTTCAAAACTATTCAATTACTCTAGATGTGAGGGGCAATAATATCCTTGGAGAGCATGTGATTTCATGGGGAGAACATGGTAAAGCCTGAGCTGCTGTGATCATCACCTTGAGAGAAAGTGTCTTTCCTGGGTCTTGATCTTGTGAAGATTAATCAAGCACTGGTGGAAGCTATCTACCATCCAACAATGGAGAAAAAACAAAAAGCAGAAACCAAACTGTGCTCATAGCACCATGAACCTTCCCAATGTGCATTGAAGGGTGGCAGGTAAGCAAAATGACACCTTCTTTTCACAGCAAACACGGGCCAAGAGCAGATGTTCCTTCTCTTATTACTCAACTGCCTGCCACAAGAAGTTCATCTCAGGCAAGAAGCCTGAGATTTCTTTTGGGATCATAGAGCACACTTATGCCATGTGCAATTTGTGCAAGAGCATCCAAAATTCATTTAACCATGCAAAGAAATGTTTCCTTCCAGTATTATAAATCATTTGCAAGTAACCACCTATCTGTTTCAGTGAGACTGTACAATAAATAAATAACCAGGAATTAGAATTGGATACTAGATCCACTCTGTTTATCTTCTTAGCATTTGCCTTACCAGGGTCTTTTATTCTTGATGTATGACACACTTGCTTTTTCCAAGCAGCAAAATCTTTAAAGCTGATCCTGGATTTATAGGTATTGAAATAGCTGTTTGATTACTATTCTCCCCAGACCCACCGTGGCACCTTCACTGCACAGTAACTCTATTACTTTTAAATTAGCCTTCTGTCCAACGGGCTGTCCACACTGTCATGCTGCCTCAGGACTTGGAGAGTCATGACCCCAATAAAATGTGGACGGCACCTGGTTAGAAAAGAGTGTTTCAGGTTGACATGAACTAGAGCAGTGGTTCTCAACCTGTGGGTCGGGACCCCATTTGGGGTCGAATGACCATTTCACGGGGGTCACCAAACAAGGCTGTCCGCCATTTTTCCCCCTTTTCTTTGGCCACGTCCCTGGCACCCAGTGATGTATAAGTTGTTGGGGGTCACCACAACATGGGGAACTGTATTATGGGGTCACAGCATTAGAAAGGTTGAGAACCACTGAACTAGAGGCTTCTCCAAGTCCCAGACTGTAGCATTCTAAAAGTTACTTGATTACAGTTTGTAATGGTGTGTGAAAATAATTTTGAGAAAGAAAATAAAAGCAACAATCAAGGCAATGATCAGATAAGAGAAGTCCTATCCCAAAGCATAAATATAATTTAGAAAGCATCTCAGGCTGGACCCTTCCTCATTCTCTTTAGGATCGAGTCAGAGAGAGGGGAAGTAGTAGTAAGATTCTGTTATGGTAATATGTAGTCTGGTTGTCTTACAGGTTTGAAGAAGACACACTGTTCTGCAGTTCATCTGTGAATACTGAGCTGGTTCTGTGGTCTCAGTCTGGAAGCAAAGAGTCTAGCACAATGGGAGCACTGGAAGTCCATTGTTTCAATAACTTTAGATGTTAATTTGTGATGGCACTCATAATTTTCCACAGGTTTTTAACCGGCTTTGTTGTCTTCAAAGCTGATATAGGCTTCAAAGTAAAGGGATTGCCAGTGAGTCCTCTCTACAGCTGCACATTTAGTTCCCTTGGTTGGATGTTACAATGGTATATGGTTTCCTTCCTAGTGACTTTGTAGCACTTGGGTGGACAATCTAAGTTCTCTTTCTAGTCTCTAGTTCACCATAAAGCAACTGGTGAGCCATACAATGGTCTCCATTGTAATGACATGTCCCACTTATTGCATCTGGGTAATCAGGGATTCAATGCTGGTGGGCTCCATGTGATCAAAGACACAGTCTTGCCAATGAATACCAAGGATGGAGTGGAGGGTCTGCATGTGAAATTTCTCTAGTTGTTTGATAAGACCTTAGAAGACTCACATCCATATAGGGGATAAACACAACTCTAGCTTTTTGGCTTTGTGGAGATAGAAATGTTGTGTTGATTAACACTGCCCTGCTGATCAGTGAGAGTGAGTGAATTTATCTTCTGTCTGTCTGTCTGTCTGTCTATCATCTATCTATCTATCTATCTATCTATCTATCTATCTATCTATCTATCTATCTATCTATCTATTTTTGTGTGCCAGGAGTATATTTTTAATAACTTTGTCTTGCTTATGCCTATACCATTTTGCTTATCCATGGACCTTTTCAGCTTTTCCCAAGGCATCAAGGAAACTCCTTTTAAGTTCACCTTGTATCTCTCCTCCATCCCTTGGCTTGTGAACTGAACTATTTTTGAAATCAGGTTTAGTGCTCTTCCAAAACACCAACACTCTTCTGCTCAGAAATAACCCTACTCACAGATCTTGGGTATTGAGCTCCTCCATCCCTGTGGCTGGTTACTCAAGCAACCTGAAAGGGGCTAACCTCTTTATCCCATACACATTTGCCACACAGCAGCACTCAGGTTTTGAACATGGCCTTACTAATCTCCAACCCAGCATCCTAAGCATGGGAGCCCACCAGGCTCCTCCTGCCTTCACATTCCTTCCTTCCATTCCATATTAGTTGAAGGAGTAGTGAAAAGCATATTTACATAGACAGCAGGCTGTTCCCTAAGAAAATACTAGTAGATGCAAGACTGCAGAAAACTTTATAAGACATATAATATGTTACTCAGTTTATGACTGATGGCTTGTTGTTCTCAAATAATTAGAAAAATCTAATAGATTAGAGAAATCCTGGCTGATTGCTGTCTCCAGAACAGATATATAGCTTCCACTGCAAGAAGTAGATGCTTTCTGATGGACTCAGAATAATCCTTTAAACGTAAGTCAGATGAAAAGGATTTGGTGTAATGCTTTTATGTAATATTTATTGAATTTCTAAAGCATAAGCTCTAAGAAAATATATCTCACTGAAACAGATTACAATCTAATATAGTCATAAAAAAGCAGCATTCAGCTAGAGTTTCACCACCTAGTAACTTAACTGAGAAGGGAAAAGATTCATGGTTGTCCTTTGATTAGTTTGTTCTATTTCTTAGCTAATGTCTGTAAAGGGCAAGGGATGATCTACAATCCTTTATCTCAGTAATGAACTGAGACCATGCAATAGGATCTATGGTTTGGGGAACGGTGTTTAAGATACTGCAGGTGCTCCTTTGTGGCTAGGAATCTGGAGAACAGCCACAAGTATCTTGAAGACCCAAAAAGAAATAAAGGCACCTTTCAACCCCCGTCACAGGACAACATATATCAGGTTACAGGTGTAACAGTACATCTCTTCTTAAACCTCACCTGAAATAATTATCAGGGTTCTTTGCGGGCAAACAAATACTATTAATTATAAAAATGGGAGCAAATGGGATTTGTTCCTACTTGCTTCATTATATGGAATAGTTAATCCTAAACTTAGAAATAATAACTAGAGAAAGATTCAAACGCTATTTTTTAATGGGACTGTGTAGAAGAAAATGGGGATTATTTATAGGATTGTATTTGATGCAGCTAGTGCTTTCAGATTATTCTTTATCTACTAAAAAAGATCTGGAGGAAATTCTGGGTAGAATTACACATAACTGATTGCCATTTTTTTAAATTAAGGAGATGAAGAACCAGTTGTTGGTATGAAAGGTTTTATATTTTATTATTAAGTTACAATTTCAATATGTTCTGAGTAATGTGTCCCATTTTACTGTATTTCTGAATAAATAGTAATGATGCTTGGCTAAGAATTAAACATTTGGAAGAGCCAAGGTGGCGCAGCAGTTAAGAGTACAGTACTGCAGGCCACTTTAGCTGACTGTGTTCAGCAGGTCAGCGGTTCAAATCTCACCGGCTCAAGGTTGACTCAGCCTTCCATCCTTCCGGGGTAGGTAAAATGAGGACCCAGATTGTTGGGGGCAATGTAAATATATATATACATTGCTTACTGGTGTACACCACTTAGAGAGTGCTTGCACTT